CTTGGACTCATCTATTTTCCTTTTCCTTTCTTCTTTTTTCTCCTCCCACCCACCCAACCCACCACCGTCTCTCTCTGCTTTACTCTCTCCGCACTTTCCTTAATCTCTCCACATTTGACTGTCTCTAAGACACTCACATAGCTCTCTCTATGTTTCTAGCTCAACAACCCTTGTCGTCGATGCCTAGGCCCAATTATGACCGACCCACTCTTTTCTAAGACCGCAGAACTTATACGTCAACGACTTGAGTTCGTCTTCTCCATCGAAGAACCCACAAATCTGTCTTAAAACATAATTTTTTTGTTAGATTTGAGTAATTTTTTTCCTAGATTTGTTACGGGTCACCTTTCTTGACATTTTATTATATTTTTTCATTTTACCTTTGTGTATATCTGCTCTCTATTCTTGCTTCGGATCTGTCTATTGCATGACTATGATATTATCTTAATTATTGCTTTGAATCTAGTTTGTTGCTTGATTATTGTTTCAGATTTGATTTGTTGCTTGAATTTTTGAGTTATCTTATGATATTGGTGTCGTCACTAGCTGGCTACCTGTAAATTTGAAGACTAAGAGTCCAAGTGGGGATCAGAATTTATCTGCATGGGAGGGCCGGGGATTAATCCCGCGAATAAGACTGGACTGAGGGTGGATGAATTTTTTTTTAAGTGGAAATGAGGACGGAGACTAAGCCCTCCATTCCCGCCTTGGTCCATCGTCATCCCTACGAGGGGAGATTGGAGAGAAATAAAAGAAAATAGGAAAAATTATCAATAAGTATTACTTTCTTTCACAAGCATCCATTAAGTTCTACCATTTTTGCGATATATCAATGAAGTTATATTCTTGATATTTTATTTCAATTAAGTCTTAAATTCATTGCTTACAAAATTAATATTGAAACCCATAAAAAAAATTTAGTTAACATAAACTTCGTGTCAGGACTTAAAGAAAACCCATATTTTCTTACTTTCTTATTTCATTGGGATACTTAATCTTAAAACCTGAGACAATATTTGTCGATTATTTAATAAAATAAGAAAAAATTAAAAAAAATACATCGATATTGTTTATCGATTAATTCTATTTTAATGTCCTTTTTGATTCAAACACTAAAAGAAATCCCTAACTTAATTATTTTAAATTCAATATAAATTAGTAGAATAATCGAAAACTACACATATAATATATCAATAGAATATGTAATATAATAATATTACTTTAATCAAAGTAAGAATTATTGTATTGTGATGATGAAAGCACATCGCACAGTAATTGAAAAACCCCAAGGGTATGCCGTTGAAGTTGACATACCTGAAAGAATACAACGTCACATATCAATTGAAATAATCTAAAAGTATGTCGTCGAATTGACATAAGAATGTTAAAAAATAAAAGAATTTTGGTAACTCAAGAGTAAAGTTAAAATTGAAATATAATGGTATTATGACTTAATTGAAATACAATACTAAAAATAAAATTGCATTGATATAAAACAAAAATGATGACTTAATGAATATTTATGAGGAAAAATAATGCTTATTAGTAAATTTTCCAAGAAAATAACCTTTTTTTTTGGTCATTTTAAGTAGTCCATAATTGGTCTATCTCTCATATGACAGCTGTCGCTATCGGGATTGCTTAATTTCATTGATGGGCTATGGTCAAGCTGTGGTGACGAGAGGATAATCGTGTTTACAACTAATCACAAAGAGAGATTAGACCCTGCATTGCTGAGACCAGGCCGAATGGACATGCACATCCACTTGTCCTACTGCACTCCTTGTGGGTTTAAGATCCTTGCTTCTAATTACCTTGGTTTAGGCGAAGGTCATTGTTTGTTTAGTGAGATCGAAATGCTCATAACCGAGGTAGAGGTAACCCCTGCTCGGGTTGCTGAAGAACTCATGAAAAGTGAAGATACAGACATTGCCCTTGCTGGACTCATCAAGTTCCTCCAAAAGAAGAAGGAACTCACACTCACAATCACATCATCTACTGAACCAAGCATTGAAGGTGTACTAGGAAAAGAAGTTGATCATAGAGAAGGAAACAAAAACGAGGAAGGAAGTCCGGAGTAAGCAAAGTAGAAAGGCGATCACGACGATTTTACCAATTGGTTTATAAGCTGGTTGTAAAGAATTATTCTATTTACGAATATGCATGATAGCATTGTACGGCCTTTGTTATGCGTTCTTGGTTACAATAGAGTGCTGTTAAGGTGTTAACAATGAACTCTGCTATATATTGCGGTCCTGTGGGCTGTGAGGTTTATTTTCTAAATAAAGCTTGGTGTTTCTGAGTTTCTCCCTATTGGGATCATTAATACTTTTATCAATAGAATCAAATCCTTTNTAATCCTGTGGGCTGTGAGGTTTATTTTCTAAATAAAGCTTGGTGTTTCTGAGTTTCTCCNCGGTCCTGTGGGCTGTGAGGTTTATTTTCTAAATAAAGCTTGGTGTTTCTGAGTTTCTCCCTATTGGGATCATTAATACTTTTATCAATAGAATCAAATCCTTTAACCTAGATTTCGCTTTTTCGAAAAGAAATTATAAATAATGAGATGAACTACATTGTAAGTAATAAGACTTGAAAACTAGTTGATTTAATAGTTTGATCTTCAAAAGCTTAGAGTTATGATACTGATGAACACTAACTTTCTGGTTTCCATGATATTCTGCAGAACCCAAAAGAAAATGCAGATTTATTAACAAAGGAAAATTTAAGTAAAAGTACTAGATGGGAAACCAACAAAAGTTTCCATATTTGTTTTTGGCTAGAGGCCAAAGTATCATAAAGCGAACAAGCTTATTCCATAATATATACACCAAAAGACAAAATAAAAATAAATGATTTACACTCTCTGCATCGCATTTACATATAACACATCATTGCAGTTGAAGACAAAGTGTAGGTCTTCTTCTTCCCGTTCGAACTTTTCATCCCTACTTGGGGCCCTCATTTCACTTAAAAGTCTTAAATCACGTGCAACTATAAAATAAGAGTTATGCTGACTAAATTAAGAGCTCAAATGACATGATAACATATTATTTAGAGTTTTTATTCGGGCACAAATGACATGACACCAAAAAAAAAGTCCAAGTCATGTCATTTAAACTCTTAATTTGATTCTAAAATTTGGTCAATGGTGTATTACCGATAAAATTAAAGGACGGTTTGTTTAGCCTTTTTGTTTTGTGTTTTAATTTTAAAAAACAAACAAAAATATGTTTAATATTTGTTACTATTTTATGTTTTATCTAATTTGTCTCGAAAACAAATGGGAACAAAAGAAATGTTTTCTCAAAAACACTTAAAACACAAAACACGCGCGAGCGGGGCTGAAGGATTTTAATGAGGTTTGGGATTCGATCTTTATCACCAACAAAAGCCGCTAATTTTTTGTGGAAGTGCCTTCGGATGGCATCCTCACTGCATCTCTCGCTCTCGCTCCTGTCTCTCTGTCTACGAAGGCGAACCGAGGCATGTGAAGTGTCTGTGTGTTCTGCCAGACCAATCGATGCTCCCTCACTTCTTGCTGCTTGAACGATCTTCGTTGCTGCCTGCTTCAACGGAACCCTCTGTCGATCTCTCTGTTGCTGTGAAGGTATGTATATAAAACTCTATATATACATACATCTGTGTATATATATGCCTATATATACACTGATTTGTATATATATGCATAAATATACATAGATCTTTGATTTATTTCAAGCTTTGATGCATATATTTCAAGCTTGTTGTGTATTGTTGTATCGTCTTTGATTGAGTGTGAGTTTGCCCCTGTTTTGATGTGGGTGTATAGGGTCTGTGTGTGTGTTTATCCGATGGGTGTGTTGTGTGTGTGTATGTTGTGTGGATGCCTGTGTGTTGTGTGTGTATGTATGTTGTTTAGAATGTTGAGCATAATATGTTTGATTAATTGTGTAAGTGAACAAATTGTTCCCATATGAAAAATTGAGGATAATATGTTTGATTAATTGTGTAAGTGAACAAATTGTAACATTTGATAAAAAAAAAAAAAAAAACAAATTATAACCATTTGGATGGCAATGGTGAAAAGGTTGGGATCTTATGCTGCTGAAGATTGATCAATTGATCTTGCTGCTGGTTGGGTCTGTGTGTTAATAATGTGTGTGTATTGTGTCTGTGTTGGTGTGTGTATTTATTTTGGGATTGTGTTGAAATTGGAATTGGAATTGGAATTGGAAAAGAATGTGATTTTCTGTGTGGGTCTTGATTCATTTAAAATATAATTTCTTGGAGTTGAAGAGCGGATATTAATTTACGGCTATATTTCAATGCAATGCTATACATGCCATGTTTCTAGGTAAGGCATGCTTCCCCATTTACATTGCATCCTTTTAAAGCATAATAATAAACATAAAAAGTTGAAGCCAGACCTTGTACCAACTTTGTAGAAATTTCTGGCTATGAACAACTAATAGAGGCCAACTTGAACCAAAACAATTGTTACTAAAGCCACCTCTCCAGGCTACTTAAATGGTTTTTTGCTGCATTGTTTACTCTTTACACATTGATTCTCATGTGGACCATTCACGATTTGGTTGTAGGAAAGTGTTTGCTTGTAGCATCTTCCCATTATCACGTTTTAACCCCCTCTCCCCCTTTTTCCCTTTTTTTTGGTCTCTGATGCTTCCTTGTTTGAGATTATATAGGAATGGTAAGTTTATAATCATGTTNCGTTTTAACCCCCTCTCCCCCTTTTTCCCTTTTTTTTTTGTCTCTGATGCTTCCTTGTTTGAGATTATATAGGAATGGTAAGTTTATAATCATGTTATTGAAAATTTGCAGATTCTTCTCAATCCCCTTTATCTACCTGGATCTCACATTAACATCATCCCATTTTGATACAAAAGTTCGAGCTCTGGCTAGAAAATATCTCTGAAGCCATCTTGTCAATTGTTATCTGCTAGACGTAAATGCTTGCCAAAGTTGGATGCTAAGTTGAGACAAGGCTTGTTCATTGGAATTCTTGTTTTCATTCCCTTTTGACTTGATTTTCCATTAGTTCGAGTAAATTTGATGGATAGGGAGAAAGTTTGGGCTCTGTGTGTGCGTGAGTGTGTGTTGGTTTTCGATGATCAAGGTTAAGGTGCTGGGTTGTATGGTAGAGGCTTGTCTTAAGCCTTGCTGTAGTGGATTAATTGCTGTGGCTGTTTTGTCCAAACAGGCGGAGCAGATGAGGGCTTCTGATTGTTCGAGATTTGATACTTGGCATGGGAAGGTTCTTGGTGGACAAGATCGGAGAGGGCTCTCTGTTTAGATTCAAATATTCTTTGCTTCTTTCTCTCTTTGTAATAACTTTTGGTCAATGATCAAAAGTGTTGATTTGTCTGAAAAATAAAATAAAATTTGGGAGTGGGATTGAATTGTCATTTGAGATTGAAATTGAATTATCATTTGGGATTGAAGTAATGTATTGAATTGGGATTGAGATTAAATTGTCATTTAGATCACTATTTCAATTAATTATCAATCATTATAATTTTTCAAATAAAAATAAAAGTAATGCATATTATTGATCATATCATTAATTCATCAAATTAATTTAATTTGTTAAGTCTCAATAGCAAAAAAAAATAGCATTGTTGAAAGAAAAAACAAGGACTTAAGGATATAATTTAAAGTGGTTATCAAACATGTTTTTTGTTTTTATTCTCATAATTTGGTAAACATAAATTACTCTCAAACATATTTTCTGTTTCATTGTTTATCACAAAACAGAGACAAAAATTATTTCTATTTTTTATTTTTTTAAAGACGCGAAAACAAAAATGTTATCAAACGGGCCATAAGTTTTTTTTTTTTTTTCTCTTTGGCTATCAATATATCATGTGTGCTTACATTCTCTAGNCAAACATGTTTTTTGTTTTTATTCTCATAATTTGGTAAACATAAATTACTCTCAAACATATTTTCTGTTTCATTGTTTACCACAAAACTGAGACAAAAATTATTTCTACTTTTTATTTTTTTAAAGACGCGAAAACAAAAATGTTATCAAACGGCCCATAAGTTTTTTTTTTTTTTTTTCTCTTTGGCTATCAATATATCATGTGTGCTTACATTCTCTAGTACGCATAACCTTTGTTTGCAATTCATACCTAGAAAATAATGTTCTCATGTCCTTCCATTGCATTATCTCGATTTTGTTCATTTTGTGGGCTATTTCTTCTAAAAAAATCCGATTTAGTTGTTGAGAATGTTTGAATGTATCTAAGACTACAAACTTAAGGCTCACATGTCATGTTTTTCCAAGTTCACATGTCATACTTACAGGGAAAAAAAAAAAGGTTCACATGTCTATATTTTTCAAGACATATGATGCCTGAGGGTGAGGGATCCCATTTATTTTTTTGTTTTGTTGCAATCNAATACTACTGGTAACCAAAATATCATGTTTTTCCAAGTTCACATGTCATACTTACAGGGAAAAAAAAAAGGTTCACATGTCTATATTTTTCAAGACATATGATGCCTGAGGGTGAGNCATGTCATGTTTTTCCAAGTTCACATGTCATACTTACAGGGAAAAAAAAAAAGGTTCACATGTCTATATTTTTCAAGACATATGATGCCTGAGGGTGAGGGATCCCATTTATTTTTTTGTTTTGTTGCAATCACATATAATTGATACATTTAGTAGCAAACATCTTGTTGGAAAGCATTTAAGAGCTATTTTTTTTTTCCAAAATAACATTTTTTCTCTTTTGAAACTCTACATTCTAAGTTCTAACCAATAACGATATTAATGAAGATTAAGTGTCAAAAAAACAAAACGAAAAAGAGTTTTTTTTTTTTTTTGTAAAGAATCAAATGGCAANGGAGCTATTTTTTTTTTTCCAAAATAACATTTTTTTCTCTTTTGAAACTCTACATTCTAAGTTCTAACCAATAACGATATTAATGAAGATTAAGTGTCAAAAAAACAAAACGAAAAAGAGTTTTTTTTTTTTTTTGTAAAGAATCAAATGGCAAAAGAGATGAAATAAAATAAAATAGATGGAAAAGAAAATATGAATATGATGAAAATATGAATTCACACAACAGACATGTAAAGAAAAAACCAAGGCAAACAACTAATGACTAAAGGCATTTTGCAACTCACTAAATACACTTGTGAATTGTTCACTCAACATAGCACTTTGTTTTTTGGGTCACATAAATCAATCAATCTATTAATAATCTGATATTTTTTCAAAATTTCGACATTATTTCTTTTGAAAATATAAACTTGTATATAGAACTGAAAAAATGAACAAAACAACCAAAACAA